GCTATTAGTCAGCTCTTATCTAATAGCCTTGTGCTATTAGTCAGCCCTTATCTAATAGCCTTGTGCTATTAGGCAACTATTATCTAGTAGCCTTGTGCTATTAGTCAGCTCTTATCTAGTAGCTTTGTGCTATTAGTCAACCCTTATCTAGTAGCCTTGTGCTATTAATCAACCATTATCTAGTAGCCTTATGCTATTAGTCAGCCCTTATCTAGTAGCCTTGTGCTATTAGTCAGACCTTATCTAGTAGCTTTGTGCTATTAGTCAGTCCTTATCTAGTAGCCTTGTGCTATTAGTTAGCCCTTATCTAGTAGCCTTGTGCTAATAGTCGAGCATTGTCTATTGCTATTAGAGCTCTCTCTCCTACGTCGCTTACACCCTTTCATTATTCCTCGCTGCTTCCAATTACATCTTCCATTATGTGCAATTATCTTCAATCTTCTTTTCACATCTCAAATTATCCCCTCCCACCCCCTATCTTCCTCCTTGTTCTCACCCATTTCTCTCTGTCTCTCTCTATGTCCCTATTTATCTGTCTGTGTAGCTATCTATCTCTCTCTCTATGTTCCTATCTGTCTCTCTGTGTCGCTATCTATCTCTCTCTGTGTTCCTATCTATCTCTCTGTGTCGCTATCTATTTTTCTGTGCCCCTATCTATCTCTATGTGTCACTATCTATCTCTATGTGTACCTATCTTTCTATCTGTGTCGTTATCTCTCTGTATTCCTATCTATCTCTCTGTGTCCCTTTTTGTCAATCTGTGGCCCAGTCTGTCTCTCTTTCCCTTCCTCTATCATTCTTTATTGATCTGTTTCCACCCTCCCTCCCCCCCCCCTCCTCTTAACTAGTCAAGTAGGTATCAAACAAGATCGTTAAGCTAGGTAAATTGTTTTTAGGTTGTAGGTCTGACGAGAGAGAGGTGGTTCCGCTTGTCTCAAGGTCTGTACCTCTGATATTTAACTAGGTCTATTTAGACCTAGTCTATCTAGATCTAGTCTATCTAGATCTATAACTAGGTCTATTTGGGAGTATCCTGATGGGTTTTTGTTTTTCATTCTCTCTTGGCTGCTGTTTTTTTATTTTGGTATTGTTCTAAGGCTGTTTGGTTGTGTTGGGACTCTTTGGTATTGTGGCTCTTTGGTATTGTGGCTCTTTGGTATTGTGGCTCTTTGGTATTGTGGCTCTTTGGTATTGTGGCTCTCTGGTATTGTGGCTCTCTGGTATTGTGGCTCTCTGGTATTGTGGCTCTCTGGTATTGTGGCTCTCTGGTATTGTGGCTCTCTGGTATTGTGGCTCTTTGGTATTGTGGCTCTCTGGTATTGTGGCTCTCTGGTATTGTGGCTCTTTGGTATTGTGGCTCTTTGGTATTGTGGCTCTTTGGTATTGTGGCTCTTTGGTATTGTGGCTCTTTGGTATTGTGGCTCTCTGGTATTGTGGCTCTCTGGTATTGTGGCTCTCTGGTATTGTGGCTCTCTGGTATTGTGGCTCTCTGGTATTGTGGCTCTTTGGTATTGTGGCTCTCTGGTATTGTGGCTCTCTGGTATTGTGGCTCTCTGGTATTGTGGCTCTCTGGTATTGTGGCTCTCTGGTATTGTGGCTCTCTGGTATTGTGGCTCTCTGGTATTGTGGCTCTCTGGTATTGTGGCTCTCTGGTATTGTGGCTCTCTGGTATTGTGGCTCTCTGGTATTGTGGCTCTTTGGTATTGTGGCTCTCTGGTATTGTGGCTCTCTGGTATTGTGGCTCTCTGGTATTGTGGCTCTCTGGTATTGTGGCTCTCTGGTATTGTGGCTCTCTGGTATTGTTCAGGCGATAAGTCACAATAACGTGGCTGAAGTATGTTGACCAATCCACAAACTAGAAAGTGAAGGGACGACGACGTTTCGGTCCGTCCTGGACCATTCTCAAGTCAAGACTTGAGAATGGTCCAGGACGGACCGAAACGTCATCGTCCCTTCACATTCTAGTGTGTGTTCTTGTCTGTTAGATGCATTAGTGAAGCATGATCATCCTTTAATAAACAAAACGCTTAAATGTCAGACGAACCGTGAAGCCCCATTTAATTTGTTTAATAAGTACTTTCTCTTACTTACTAAGACCATCCAACACCATCATAGCCTTTGTAGCCGCTCCATACACCGTAATTACGCGTGTGCTCCACCCACGCACCTTAATTACACATGTACCCCGTCATTCACACCCCTAATCTATATCGAACGCTTCTACATTTTGTGTTCTTCCCGCCACCTTCTGCTCCCTTACCAAGGGGAGGAGGCAGATAGCACAGGATGTGTTGGCCTATGGTGCATTTATTGACCGTGACACGCAAGATTACATACAGTACTCCTAGCTCCATGATCTCTCTAGAGATATGAGACCAGAACAGAGAACAGTCTCTCTCTCCTTTCCACCTTCTCATTTTTAAACTTCCAGTCGAGTAAATTTCCAGGTGATACACCATCCTGTCACTTCGAGGGCAGTGACGTCGCAGCGAATGAAACTATGGAAAAATAAAACAGAATTTATTATATTGCATTACAAAGAGGAGCTTATAGACAGACGTAGACAGACAATGCCTGCATTATGCAGTGCAACATGCACGAATAATGTAACTAATATTTTTGTTTTAAATTCCCGGTAAAACTGCATTTAGGAGAGGATGAAGGAGGTAATTGCAAAGACAGATAGACCTACGAGCTGAGAGAGAGAACAAGAATATAAAAATACTATAAACTGCACAAGGCCATTTGGACCATACGAGACAGCTCGTATTTAGAGCCGGATATGCAGAGAGGGAGACGTACTGATAGAGAGACAGACAGACAGACAGACAGGTAGATACAGACAGAGGCAGACACGTAAACAAACATAAAAAGACAGGCAGGTAGACATACAAATAGGTGCACACACACACACACACACACACACACACACACACACACACACACACACACACACACACACACACACACACACACACACACACACTACCTCACTTCTCCCTTTCTTGTACCTAACTCCTCTCTCTTCTCATTCTCCAATCATTTCTTCTTCTCTTTAATTATAATCAGAGGTTTTCTAAGCTTAACGAATGATGCATAATTTGTTGTAGTGTTTTCAAAGAATTTCATTTTTTTTCAGTGATTCATTGTCCAGCGTATCTTTGAGATTCTCGTTACACTTCGCTTTTCTCATTCTGTCTTTGAGTCTGTGTTCACTAAGATATTATCATCTAGTTGTGCTTGAGGGGTTTGAGCTTTGGCTTATATCCATGTTTGGTTAGGGATGGCTACATTCTCTCTCTCTCTCTCTCTCTCCCTCTCTCTGTCTCCCTCTCTCTCTCTCTCTCTCTCTCTCTCTCTCTCTCTCTCTCTCTCTCTCTCTCTCTCTCTCTCTCTCTCTCTCTCTCTCTCTCTCTCTCTCTCTCTCTCTCTCTCTCTCTCTCTCTCTCTCTCTCTCTCTCTCTCTCTCTCTCTCTCTCTCTCTCTCTCAGCCGTCTCTCTCTCAGCCGTCTCTCTCTGTCCAAAATGTAACTTACCGGAAAATTGTCTGAGTTGCCCGTATTTTATTGTTCTTTCACACTTTGTGCTAGCAGCTTATCCCAACAGCTCTCCACAACAGCTCACCACAACAGCTCTCCACAACAGCTCTCCACAATAGCTCTCCACAGCAGCTGTACACAGCAAAAGTTCCTGTGAATGAGGTAATGGTTTAGGTTCCCCTGTAACATAAATGGGTTGAAGTAATCAGTCAGCACCTCCACGCACATCTGTACGTGACACATATGTACGTGGCACATCTGTACGTGGCACATCTGTACGTGACACATCTGTACGTGACACATATGTTCTAGAGACTGTATTTGTTATCTAATGCTTCAGAGGCTCACTATCATGCTCACTATAGCGATTTATATACAAAACAAAACAAATAGACTCATAAATGATGCTGTTCACTTACGACGCCCATGGCAACGACTGCATGAAGAATCATATCTTTCGATGCGTTGCCAGAGTTATTTGCAGAAAAAATTCCACAGTTGTAATAGTGTTGATTTTGGAATTCATAGGAGATCGTGTGCGTGTTCCAACAGCTGTGTCAAGCTACTCAGCAGGTGTGTCAAGCTACTCAGCAGGTGTGTCAAGCTACTCAGCAGGTGTGTCAAGCTACTCAGCAGGTGTGTCAAGCTACTCAGCAGGTGTGTCAAGCTACTCAGCAGGTGTGTCAAGCTACTCAGCAGGTGTGTCAAACTACTCAGCAGGTGTGTCAAGCTACTCAGCAGGTGTGTCAAGCTATTCAGCAGGTGTGTCAAGCTACTCAGCAGGTGTGTCAAGCTACTCAGCAGGTGTGTCAAGCTATTCAGCAGGTGTGTGGGGAAATGCATCATACTCCAGAGCTCATTATACTTGTACAAGGAGTGTTGTTGTTCGTTGGGATGCTTCCTGAAGTGGTTACAGGATTCATTGTAATCTGTTTGGTCAGGGACAGTAAGACTGAATACTTTTAAGGCTTGTATCGAGGTCTCTCCAAAGGTCAAACTACTGACCCTACCCAGCAGTTGCCTAACTCTTTGTCACGGTGAAGCGCCAAGACTATATAGCACTGGCAAGGGGTCGGGATAAGGATTTGGGATTGGACAGGGGAAGAGGGGGGGAAGGAATGGTACCCAACCCACTTGGACCCTCGGGGAACTGAACGCCGACCTGCATGAAGCTAGACCATCGCTCCTACCGTCCAGTCCAAGCCGGTTGAAATAATAATCGTTAATTCCAGCTTATAACCATATAAAGACGAGTGTGTTGCGGTTGAGGGTTAATCCCAATTGCGTGTTGTTTGTGTTACAAACCCACAACACATCTTTGCAACATCCATGTGTTTCAGCTTCGGGTGTTTCAGCTTGGAATGTTTCAGCTTGTGCCGCTGAGTTTCAGCCAAAATGTCAACCAGTTTTGTCGACGTGTTCCAGATATGTTCTAATCCAAGCTCCGGTGTGTTCTTGCAGGAGGAATGTCGACTGGAAGTGTTCCAGCAGACGACCGATAACCTGGTGTTGCAGGTGAGGCACTACCAGGACACCTCTGGCCTAACCAACACCACCTACTCTCACTTCATGATGCTAGAGGAGCGGGTATGTTCCAGTTTCTGAGCATCGAGTTGCGTTTGACGGGCTGAAGTCCCACTCAATTGTGTGTGTGTGTGTGTGTGTGTGTGTGTGTGTGTGTGTGTGTGTGTGTGTGTGTGTGTGTGTGTGTGTGTGTGTGTGTGTGTGTGTGCTTGCCTAACAGTTACTAAGAATTCCAGACATGTTATATACGTGATATACCTATATACTAGTATATTCTGGCCTGGTGATGAGTACTGATAACCTTGGCGCTGTGTGAATGAGAGCATTGTAATTATATTGTGTTTGAATAGTTAAATTCACAGGCTAGTAGACAATCAATTATTCAATTAGTCACGTATATGAAAATGATCAATCAATCGGGCATGTGGTTCGTTAATCAACCGATCAATCACGCAGGTAGTCCGAGAATCAATCAGTAAGTCATTTAAGTAGTCCGTGAATTGACCCTTCAATTACTCGGTCAGAGAAAACTACCCACCAGACATACCAGTTTACACCTAGTTACGTTAACCTAGAGTAAACTCCAATTACATGGAGTAAACTCCACTTACAGAGTAAACTCCACTACACTTGTATGATTAAATTAATCATTGTTTTTTTATGAAGATAAGACTTTTTATACTAATTACTTTTTGTTGCTGCCTTTTTCAGCCTTTTTTGAGGCTTAGTGCTTTTTTACCTTTTTTTTCTAGCTTTTTACATCACTTAGCGTAACTATTTGGACCATAGTACATATATTGACATAATAGGCTGTTAGAAAGTAGAATTTGGTACTATTGAATTTACACAAACCTGAAAAAGGTTTTGTATTTATGTTGCTAATAAAACCAAACCTAACTATCCTAGGCCTAATGCACGCTATCTGAGGTTTGATATAGTACATATATGTACTCTAGTAGGCCTAGGAATATTTAAGTTTGTTTTTTTAGCTTTACTTCTGCCCGGACTCTGTAAAGTGAATAGTACCAAATTTTACTATCTAATTGTCCATTAGGTTAATAGATGTACAATAGTGCACAAAAGGTTCTGTCTTAACAGGAGGATGGTTTGGCTTTTTTCTGTTTCTTCTTTCTTGATTACTTTTTTTTTACCGTTTCTTCTTTATTGATTTCTGTTTACTGTTTTTTGGCTGCTTTCTCTTTACTGATATCTTTTTTTTTTTACTGCTTTAATTTTCAGCTTTAATGCTTTCTTGTTACTGAATTTGTTTTAATGTTTGGGAATTAATTAAGCGGCTCGATAAGCTTATCTTCGGCTTCAACATTTTCTCGACATGAAATTTGCAAATTTGAATGGAAATTTCCTGTTATCGGGGTCGAGAAGGGAGATAACTTAGGATAACAGATGTATTAAGGATCGAGGAAGCTAGAATTGTCAAGGATAGCGTGTTTTTTTTGCTTGTTTGTTTTTAATATAACTTCGGTGTGTTTGTTCTAGTTTAGTTTCGTCTTTCAGTTTTAATGGTTTGAACTTAAACTATATTTACATATTTATTGTAAATATGTAAATATTTATTTACAATAAACTATTTATTTATTGCAAGTTAAGAGTTAAGGTTATTTTGCTTCAGCTCACTTTAAAGCGTATGGCTCTTTGTACCAATGGTGCTGTTCCACCGGTTCCAATGGTGCTGTTCCACCTGTTCCAGTGGTGCTCTCCCACTTGTACCAGTTGTGTTCTTCCACCAATACCAGTGTTGCATTTCCGTCTCTGTCTGTCTAATTCTGAACAGCATTTAAAATGATCTGAGCCCAAGCTTGGAGCGTCATCAGATGGAGAAACAGCACAAAATGCTACGTTTCTGGCGGGCCAGGGAGACCAGGTCCGAAATTACAAGTCCTAAAGGTTCATTCATCACTCTGGTACTTGGGCTTGTATGTCATGGGGCTTTAAATTCGCCCAAACACGGACGCAAACCTGTCATTCGTGGACGCAATAAGTCTTGCGATAACCGGATTGGTTGTAAGTACATACATCCTACCCTTCATTAAAGGTTAAAAATTGTCTGATATGTCTTGTGTTTTGTTCGCACACGCACGCGCACACACAAGCACGCACGCACACACACGTAAGACCAATCTTGGAGAATGCGGCCCCAGCTTGGAGCCCATACCTTGTCAAGCACAAGACGAAGTTGGAAAAAGTTCGGAGGTATGCCACAGGCTAGTCTCAGAACTAAGAGGCATGAGGTATGAGGAAAGGCTGCGTGAACTTACCCTACATCGCTGGAAGACAGAAGATCTCGGGGAGACATGATCACCACATACAAAATTCTCAGGGGGAATGGACAGGGTAGAGAAGGATGGATTATTTAAAACGGGTGGAACACGCACAAGGGGACACAGGTGGAAGCAGAGTACCCAAATGAGCCACAGAGACATTAGAAAGATCTTTTTCAGTGTCAGAGTAGTTAGCAAATGGAATACATTAGGAAATAGGAAAGCAACTAATTAGAAATGCAGTACTTCGGTCAGGTCAGGTGCTAAATAAAGGCAAATGTTATACATATTAGAAACTAAACTGCAAACTAGAATCTCACGCCAGGCAAGGTATTACGACAAATAACGAGACAGCTGGAACAACTAGAAAGAACCAAGATGTTCAAGAGAGAGAGAGAGAGAGAGAGAGAGAGAGAGAGAGAGAGAGAGAGAGAGAGAGAGAGAGAGAGAGAGAGAGAGAGACAGGGCCCCACAAATAAGAGACCCAGGCCTACATTATGCAGGGTCACACCGCTTCAACTCCAAGATTCCCACAAAAGTTCCCCACAAAAATACTCTTGAGTTATGACGTCTCAGTTGACTCCAGAGCTCTTAAACCTCGGCGAATCGAGTTCAATATTTTGAATTACTCTTCCGCTATAACTTCATCCTCCGAATAATATAGTTTTACGTGAATTCCTCCCAATTTTTAGACGAACTCCTGGATACGAAATAGAGCGCGTTCCGATTGTTTACATTATAGATGAAATGAACCTTGGCACTGAATGTAATCGAGGACTATATGTTGAGTGTGTGTGTGGGATCAGGACGATCGGTCGCCTCTGGTAATGGTCTCGGGCGCTCCTGGTGATGCTCTTTTGATCCCCCGAGGATATATATACCTTTTATTTTTATGCTGCTTTTGCTTTTTACTTAAAACGCCTTTATAATAAATAAATAAATATATATATATATATATATATATATATATATATATATATATATATATATATATATATATATATATATATATAATTTAAATATATTAAATTTTAGTTATTTAATTCATGTTCAGTATCTGACTTGATTAAAAACAACATGATATCTGAAGAAAAAATTATTAAATGAACGTGTTCAATGGATGCTCTTTCGGATAGCAGAGTTATTAGCAGCAGCAGTATCAGTAGCAGTAGCAGTAGTAGTAATGTTTGTTGTAGCAGAAGTAGCAGTTGTGGTCGAAGAAGTAGTTGCAAGTAGTTGCAGCAGTATCAGTAGCAACAGTAGCAGTATCAGTAGCAACAGTAGCAGTATCAGTAGCAACAGTAGCAGTATCAGTAGCAACAGTAGCAGTATCAGTAGCAACAGTAGCAGTATCAGTAGCAACAGTAGCAGTATCAGTAGCAACAGTAGCAGTAGCAGTAGCAACAGTAGCAGTATCAGTAGCAACAGTAGCAGTATCAGTAGCAACAGTAGCAGTAGCAGTTGAAACAGTAACAATACTAAGTACATGAACCTTTTTTTAATTAAAATATCACCAAAGAGAAGATATTATTAGCTAATTGCAGACATATATGGTTCTTGTTCTGGAACCTGTTTGTTCACCACTATTCACATCCATTCCAGAACCATTGGCCTATGGTTCACCGCCAACCACTACCCTTCCAGAACCATTAGCCTCTGGTTCACCACCAACCACTACCCTTCCAGAACCATTGGCCTCTGGTTCACTACCATTCCAGAACCATTGGCCTCTGGTTCACCACCAACCACTACCATTCCAGAACCATTGACCTCTGGTTCACCACCAACCACTACCATTCCAGAACCATTGGCCTCTGGTTCACCGCCAACCACTACCATTCCAGAACCATTGGCCTCTGGTTCACCACCAACCACTACCCTTCCAGAACCATTGGCCTCTGGTTCACCGCCAACCACTACCATTCCAGAACCATTGGCCTCTGGTTCACCACCAACCACTATCATTCCAGAACCATTGGCCTCTGGTTCACTACCCTTCCAGAACCATTAGCCTCTGGTTCACCACCAACCACTACCCTTCCAGAACCATTGGCCTCTGGTTCACTACCATTCCAGAACCATTGGCCTCTGGTTCACCACCAACCACTACCATTCCAGAACCATTGACATCTGGTTCACCACCAACCACTACCATTCCAGAACCATTGGCCTCTGGTTCACCGCCAACCACTACCATTCCAGAACCATTGGCCTCTGGTTCACCACCAACCACTACCCTTCCAGAACCATTGGCCTCTGGTTCACCGCCAACCACTACCATTCCAGAACCATTGGCCTCTGGTTCACCACCAACCACTATCATTCCAGAACCATTGGCCTCTGGTTCACTACCATTCCAGAACCATTAGCCTCTGGTTCACCGCCAACCACTACCATTCCAGAACCATTGGCCTCTGGTTCACTACCATTCCAGAACCATTGGCCTCTGGTTCACTACCATTCCAGAACCATTGACCTCTGGTTCACCGCCAACCACTACCATTCCAGAACCATTGACCTCTGGTTCACCGCCAACCACTACCATTCCAGAACCATTGACCTCTGGTTCACCGCCAACCACTACCATTCCAGAACCATTGGCCTCTGGTTCACCGCCAATCACTACCCTTCCAGAACCATTGGCCTCTGGTTCACCGCCAACCACTACCATTCCACAACCATTGGCCTCTGGTTCACCGCCAATCACTACCATTCCAGAACCATTGACCTCTGGTTCACCGCCAACAACTACCATTCCAGAACCATTGGCCTCTGGTTCACCACCAACCACTACCCTTCCAGAACCATTGGCCTCTGGTTCACCGCCAACCACTACCATTCCAGAACCATTGGCCTCTGGTTCACCGCCAATCACTACCATTCCAGAACCATTGACCTCTGGTTCACCGCCAACCACTACCATTCCAGAACCATTGGCCTCTGGTTCACCACCAACCACTACCCTTCCAGAACCATTGGCCTCTGGTTCACCGCCAACCACTACCATTCCAGAACCATTGACCTCTGGTTCACCGCCAACCACTACCATTCCAGAACCATTGACCTCTGGTTCACCGCCAACAACTACCATTCCAGAACCATTGGCCTCTGGTTCACCACCAACCACTACCCTTCCAGAACCATTGGCCTCTGGTTCACCGCCAACCACTACCATTCCAGAACCATTGGCCTCTGGTTCACCGCCAATCACTACCATTCCAGAACCATTGACCTCTGGTTCACCGCCAACCACTACCATTCCAGAACCATTGGCCTCTGGTTCCCCACCAACCACTACCCTTCCAGAACCATTGGCCTCTGGTTCACCGCCAACCACTACCATTCCAGAACCATTGACCTCTGGTTCACCGCCAACCACTACCATTCCAGAACCATTGACCTCTGGTTCACCGCCAACCACTATCATTCCAGAACCATTGACCTCTGGTTCACCGCCAACCATTACCATTCCAGAACCATTGACCTCTGGTTCACCGCCAACCACTACCATTCCAGAACCATTGACCTCTGGTTCACCGCCAACCACTACCATTCCAGAACCATTGACCTCTGGTTCACCGCCAACCACTACCATTCCAGAACCATTGACCTCTGGTTCACCGCCAACCACTACCATTCCAGAACCATTGACCTCTGGTTCACCGCCAACCACTACCATTCCAGAACCATTGACCTCTGGTTCACCGCCAACCACTATCATTCCAGAACCGGTGCGAGAAGCCAGTCACCAAGGTAGCAGAAATGATCAACAAGAGAGCTCCCAGAATCCTTCACGACGTGCGTCTCTCTCTCTTCGTGTTGGCGGAAGTCATCGACAACGTTCCCAGCCCTCAGCGGATCAGCGGTGGGCTGCCGGGGCCCCGCAGCGTGGGCGTGAGGGCGTGCTGGTGGGCGTGGGTCACGGGCGCCGCGTTGGCGTTGGCGGGAAAGTTACACACAGGAGACTGGGGGGTCGCCATCTTGTGATAGCTCAGCTTAACCCCCTCCCTAAGCTTATGTTATCTGCTACGCATCAGTCAAACTAGGAATAAGGATGTAAATACCAAGCTTAATATAGACCAGGGGATCGTTTGCTGGGTTTTGTAAATAAATTGAAAGAAAATAAACCATGAAATATATAGTTTTTAAACAATTTACTTGTATTCTATGCCACAATGACTGCACGTGAAGGTGAGATTGTGTGTGCGCCGCGTACGAGGTCATGTTCTCCCCGGAAGATGCTCCAATCGTGTCTTCTTCCTCACTCTTAAGAGTGTATGAATCTCCGAATCCCTCCCCTCTACCCAATCAGCACCTCTGGCACGTGTGGTAACAACACTGAGGAGTAAGTATTACCGTGAGTCTCAAAAATCTCCGTTCATATACTGTTTGTTTACGAGGCGTCGATAAGTATGCCCAAGAATAACAGGTGACAGGAAGTTACTTCAGCTGTGACTTGAATTAAGCAGAAGATGGAAGGTCCAGAGGATAACGTCTGTGACTTGGGTTAAGAAAACACTAGATGTCGATTTATATAAATGATGTCAGGAGCTGACATCGACTGCATCAGTTGAAATCGACAATGTAATCTTATATAAACAGCATCACCAAGTGTCAACATAGTCTAATGGGTGGAACACAGCAGCTGTAGCAGCAGCAGCAGCGACAGCAGCAACAGCGACAGCAGCAGCAGCAGCGGCAGCAGTAGCAGCAGGGACAGCAACACCAGCAGCAACAGCAACAGCAGCAGCAGCAACAGCAGCAGTTGCAGCAGCGACAGCAGCAGCAGCAGCAGGGACAGCAGCAGCAGCAGGGACAGCAGCATCAGCAGCGACAGCAGCAGCAGCGACAGCAGCAGCAGCAGCAGCAGGGACAGCAGCATCAGCAGCGACAGCAGCAGCAGCAGGGACAGCAGCATCAGCAGCGACAGCAGCAGCAGCAGCAGCAGGGACAGCAGCAGCAGCGACAGCAGCAGCAGGGACAGCAGCAGCAGCAGGGACAGCAACAGCAGCCAGTGTGGCATACATAAACCTTCCTGGTCTTTGAAATTCCGTGTTTCATGTTATAAACTAGAATAGCATTTGCTTTGTCCATTAAATGTCATCTTTCTTATTTTTGAGTCTGTATGTATTGAATATTAATCACAATTTTTTTTGTAATATTTCTATGTCCAATATTTCGATGGTTAAGCGTGCATGTGTTAGAGAGAGAGAGAGAGAGAGAGAGAGAGAGAGAGAGAGAGAGAGAGAGAGAGAGAGAGAGAGAATAAGTCTGCTTTTGTGTGTGTTTGACCGACAGACAAAATTGTTTGGTGCTATTACGCTAAGAATTATTTTGTCGTTATTGAATAAACCAGAAAAGTGGCATATCATTCAAATTTTGTGTAAATAATTTATATAAAAAAATGGAGACTGTTCAAACATCTATTGTTTCTTTTTTTGTGATTTGCATATGGTGAGTGTATTTAGATAAAAAATTATAAATACATATGCACATACATACATGTGTGTGTGTGTGTGTGTGTGTGTGAGTGTATGTGTGTGTATGTGTGTGAGTGTGTGTGTGTGTGTGTGTGTGTGTGTGTGTGTGTGTGTGTGTGTGTGTGTGTGTGCGTGTGAGTGTGTGTGTGTGTGTGTGTGTGTGTGTGTGTGAGTGTGAGTGTGTGTGTGTGTGTGTAAATAAATGACATTTTCACAAGTCCAGCAGTAGAAACAATGTTAGTTTATTAATATGTAAATACAATTATTTCTTAATGTTAAAATCTTATTAAATATAAATCAATTCAAATGTTGATTGTTGTCAACTCACACCGGGTAATCAAGGTTTAACAGCATCTCCAGACTCCACAGCATACTCCGAACAGCAGCATACCCAGACACCACAATATACTCAGAACTACAGCGTATCCAGAAGCACAACAAATACAGATTCCCCAGCATACCTAACTTCACCATATACCCAGGTCCACAGCATATCCAGAAACACAGCATTTCCAGAATACAGCATACTCTAACACCACAATATTTTGATCCATCTGTATCCCAGGAGTGAGCAGAAGTTCTGCCGTGGAGTAAGTTGATAACACAGTGACTGTTGTGGGGTGAGTTCACAACACAGTAGCCACTGTGTTATGAGCTCATAATACACAGTAGCCACTGTGTTATGAGCTCATAATACACAGTGACTGCCTTAAGCTAAGCTCATAACACACCATCACTCCCAATATAGTGAAATTTTGGCTCATGTTGATCTAATTTCATCCCCCTACCCCCACCTGATGGTAATTCACCGTTTCAAAATCATTATTTAAACATCTCTCTTGAGGCAACACCATTCGACTGTGAGTCAAATCTTAGTTTTCAGCAAGCAACAACGTGTTTGAATCGTTTGTCCAGTTAGTTTAAGGTATTGAATTCTCAAATGAATCGTACCTCTAGTCCATTGGTACCAGAGGTACCACTGGCTAATTTGAGTTTGTGTTGATTTCATGTCGAGTGCTGTGTTCTCTGAGCTCATCTGTGTCCCTCTTGGTCTCACCAGAGGACCTAAGTTTATCTCTGACGTTATTTGATGTTATTTTCTATCATTTGAATCAAGTTTTTGTTACGTTAAGTTATCCTGTATCACTTCAGGAGGTGTAAGTGTAGTGTTGTAATCTGGAGGGATTTCCAGGAATCTGGAGGCATTTCCAGGACATTATGAGGGCTCAAGCGTAATAATCTGTGATCGCCTGGGCTCAGTATCATCACCTTAGCTCCCCCTCTAGCGTTCACTGGAGATGTCATACGTCAATGACTAAACTTGAATAATCGGTGAGAACCTGGAATCACCTAAATGACTCCTGGGACTCACCTGTACTCATTCTCCTTTACTTCATTCATGCTTATGACTCATCTATCGCTGTACCCAAACTAGTATTAAGTAGTCGTTGTTAGTAGACCATTTTTCTTGTTAATATGTTGCTATCTTTAAGAAGGTGAAACAGATATATATGGTGCTGGCGACGATGTAGAGATGGAAATACGAGAGATAAGATGGATATCACTTATTTACATATTAAGAGATAAGTTCCGTGTTGGAACTTATTACATATAATAAAGATACACTCACACTCACGCTGCTTATAACAGAACGCAACTGTGAAGTCAATATAGGCACAAGAACGCGTGAGAGATTAGGCGGGGGTGGAAAAGTATTTAACTAAATGATATCTTTCCTGAAATGTTATGTTATTGTGTTTGATAGCTGCCGGAGGTTGCACCCTGGTTCTATATACGACGCAGATACTGCTCTCTGGTTCTACAGATCGAACCAGGGAGCAGCACCCTGGTTCGATATCATTAAACGGATTGAACCACACAGATTTTTTTTTGGTTTACTGGAGAAGCTAGAGATCGTTTTTTGCCATCTAACCAGTTGCAAGGACATGGTATCGTTTCACACTTAAGTTATTCACCGTTTTGGGAGAAAATTGATAACGTATTGAGAGTCTTCTTCGCGGGAACTGTTGGTTACTGATCATGAATATCTTGAGAAACAACCTTATCACATGGCTTCTTCTGTGTCGTGTTATTGTGTCGGGAGAAGACGTCAACAAAGACGATTTAGCAGGTGGGTTGTTCATCAAGTAAGATCATATGTGTGTCGCGATTTTCACTGTCGTTGTGGCTCAGAAAAGAATGGAGTCGTTTCTCTCTATCGATGAGGTGATATCAGAAGCTTTTCAACGCGGTATTCGAAACGTCGGAGGTGCAGTTATCAAAATATTACATATATATATATATATATATATATATATATATATATATATATATATATATATATATATATATATATATATATATATATAATTTTTTTTTGCTTCAGCTTTCAATTTTGCCTTCAGATGATTAGTGTGGCGTTGTGCGCTGATGAGCGCGCTGCTCTTACGAAATCACTTGAAATTGAGCACATTTTCTAGCATATTTCTTAGCGTCTCTATGATGACAATATCATGATCATTACACCACAATGACTTCGACACTGTCAGAAACTGTCTGCAGGAAGCCAGCTACAACAACCACCTCCCTCACTTCATCTCTTGTAACAATAGGGCAGAACGAGTCAGAGTGACAGGGTCGTGTCCTTGGGCTCAGAATGTATACCAACAGTGTCTTCCGAAGCTATTAATACCGAACTCAGTAATAATATCAGCAAAAGAGGAGATAGAGGGCTTGTTCTTCGAATAGGACAATCCACTGATAACAAAGAACACATGGACGACAATAGAATACACTGATGACAACAATAGAACACTCAGACAACACAGAACTCTAGTGGTGTTTCAGAAAGGCGAAGAACTAGGGGGTGACTTGATAGAGGTTTACAAGTGGATGAATGGGCATAATAAAGGGGGGATATTAATAGGGGTATTAAAAGTATCAACATAAGACAGAACACGATATGCACGTATTTAATAAGTCAATATTGACTTATTCGTGTCACATATGCACGTATTTAATAAGTCAATATTGACTATACGAAAGTGCGAGAACGGGTTGGAGACTGACGCTCCTCATTTAGTATACTTAGGCTTGCCGATGCCCTCCTGACCCACCACAAGACGCATCCCACAACAGTTGACTGGAACATGTTCACCTATCTATCGGGTTTGACCTCATCTGCCTCTTCTCTATAAACACACCACTTCGGTATAATAAAGACCTTGCAGGCCAAGATATCAAAATTGAGCCCCAAGATATCAAAACTGACTTCAGAATTGGTGTTTACATTTCAAAATTGTATTCAACATTGTATGACTGAAAGACTCACTCAAATATCCTGGGATAATAAGCATAATTTTTCAGGGAAAAATGCAAATTGCTGGTGGATGGTCTTACAGCTTCCCGAAGACTGAGAGGAAGATGGATGTAGTCGAAGCTTTAAGAGGACTGAGAGGAAGGTGGATGTAGTCGAAGCTTTAAGAGGACTGAGAGGAAGGTGGATGTAGTCGAAGCTTTAAGAGGACTGAGAGGAAGGTGGATGTAGTCGAAGCTTTAAGAGGACTGAGAGGAAGGTGGATGTAGTCGAAGCTTTAAGAGGACTGAGAGGAAGTGATTACACAGGAAGAAGAATTTGTGTAGGGACTGAGCTAAGACGCAAGAGGCCGAGTTGA